ATGTGTTAAGTAACGGTAGTCTGGAATGTGTATAGGGATTGGACATGTTGGGGGGTACCCCTCCGTCTCATTTCTTGCTGGGTATAAAAAAAATTGTCCTTTTTGATGCAAGGTAAGGTTTTTTTTAAATTCTCACCGTTGCTGACTTTAACTAACGGTGGAAAAGTGAGAGCTACATGGAATATGGACAAGAAATATTTGGATGTTGGTCATCCTTTCTGGTCATATGGTCCAAGACACTCTGGAACATTTGCTTGGAATGTTCCTGAATCCTGTATAATCTTACACTTCAGAAATAAGACAGCATTTTCCCCATACTCGAACAGAAGTGGAACATCAACCAAAACATAAAGCAAGAGTGGCTAACCTGTGGAGTCCGACATCCATCAGAAATACTTCAAGTTTTGAAAATTTCCACAGATTTCCAGGTAAGTCGGAGTTGAATAGCCTTGGAGCGGGAAGGTATACCACTTCCATCTGTATCCTTGCAGATCTTAAGTTGACAGCAGGGCCACCAACTTTCATTAGGTGTGAGACTCCACTATTTCAGGTTATATCATGCTGTCGATCCACAATTAATTCGCTCAACATTTTTAAGTTCAGTCCTTAGAGAGTGCCGAAAACATTTTGTCTGTAACTAGGTTCTGGTAATGAAAGAACAATTTGGTTGGTTTTTATCAAAGCAACATTGATGTCATGTAGGTTACGTGCCTTTGGGAGTAAGCCCATGTCTAAAACTAGTTTCCAAGGGAAAAAAAACTATTTCAGTAGAAAACATAGCAAACAGCACTCATTTTTCTCAAAATAGCACCTCCTTTGCCAAGACTTATTTACTTATTTTTTGCCCTTTCATGGAAACTGGACTAATCTGATATTTTTTTGTGGGCTGTAAACTTAAAAATCGGGATAATTCTAGTCAAATTGGAATGGTCGGCAGGTAGGTTTCATGCACAATTCTTGCTCGCTGTTAGCAGCCTTACAATAGGTGTATTCAATCAATTATCACAGAATGTTCAACCAACAACTTACAGCAGGTTGATGCTGTGTTCTTTGATTGCTTCCTTGCTACTGTGCTGGATGTAGAATCCGGCGTCATCTCTGGAGGGGATGCCCGGGCTCGGGATGGGCTTGCAGTTCTTGTGGTAGAAAGTCTGGTGGCAACCGTTCTGGTGGCCGTGTATAACTGTCTGGTGATTGCTGAAAACCCAAACAATTCCAAAGTGAAATCTTTTAAAGCTAGAAGACATAATCCTCTGGCCATTTCTTGCCAAAGAACTTCCTAAATCCTGCAAACCCTTCACTTTGCAAGATATAAACAGGAGCCTTTGCACTATAAAACTTCAAATGGTCATCAAACGCTGTGAACTGTAACACAAAATGGGCTCAATCATTTCAATCCTGAAATAAATTCCAGAAGATTTTGAAGGGTTTGGGAGGGTTTGAGTTACCATGGCAAGAGAGTTCACCATAACATCCCCTTGAACACTTTGTACTTTCCGAGCTGTGTAGGGTCTGACATCAAAGGATTCCTTTAAAACCTGTTTACAGGACTTTAAAAAAAAATGAAGTTACGTTTGCTCTGAATGTCGATGGGACGGGGTAGGTTGGGAGTGCTCTTACCGCAGTGTGACATCCGTCAGTGTTTCATCACTCAGGAATTGCTCGTGAATCTGCTCGGTGCCTCGACAAAAGACGGACTCAGCCTGGTTGACAGGGTTGGTGATACTTCCTGAGGAAGGCGGCGAAAGGAACAATTGATGGAACAGGTAAACTTCAAGTTTAACAGAATTATTCATGGAATGAATTCATTTGGTTGGCAACTCTGAAGATCTGTCTTCTGCATAAAAAATTATTTGGAGGAGAAAAATATTCATTTAAATTTAAAGGAACCAGGAAGTAGGAATATTTTTATAACTTTTACTAAAAACCCTTGAGATTGCATCTTTGGGTTTCAATTAACCTGATTTTAAATTTTTGTTTTGCAATTTTAACCCATAATTTGATGCTTTTCTAGTTTTATGCTAATGCTATTTGCATATTGATGAGCAGAACTATGATGTCATCCAATGCACTGAATCTCAATGTTGCACTGATTTGTGCAAAGAAAATTTCTAGATTTTTTCAACCACTGCTATGGCAGATTTTACTTTCTTTGGCAATTTATTGCTGTGTAAGTATATGGCAATCATCTGGCAAAAATCCCTTTAACAGAAGTGTTCCCAGATAGCAAATTTGGGGTTCACAATTTGAACATGAAAACATGCAACCTGAACCATGTCTTCCTGGATTTACATCGAAGCAAAAGCGCCCCCACTTCTCCAGAAATGCTTGGTCAATTTTTAATTTTTCAAAAAGTGCACCATTCAGTTCACATAACTCAAAAAAGATGTCTAACAGTCTTCAAATGTGGACAAAGAATACAGAGATACACAAAAAGTGATTCTAAGAAAAATTAATTTCTCGGATCCTTTGAAATTCTGTAATGGTGGGCAATGTCCTTCAACATTCCAATTACAGACTCGGTTCGCAATGTTTCTATTTTGGGGGGCATTTTTCTTTCAACAAATTTACCTCTCACCTTCTAAAGACTGTTGGTGACTGTCATAGTGAATGAAGTTGTACGCCCCTTTGCAATCCTGAAAAAAAAAACCAGGTGAATATATTAACATCATTACACCTGTCCCTCGTCTCCCATCAATACTCAATGGCCGGCTTTGATATTTATAATTATAATAATAATGGGGGTATTTATAGAGCTTCTTTAATATGGATTAAAGATCTGTACATCAAAGGAAAAAAAGACCATAAACCAACAGAAAGGCAAAGGATTAATAAAAAGGCTGACTGAAAAGGAAGGTCTTAAGATTTTTCTTAAAGACTGTTCCCTACAATCCAAATTATGACCTATAAAAGCTCACATTTCAGCTCATTCTTTATCTCTCTGTTTAAGGAGAATTTCATCTTTACTCATCTCTCAACCATGATACCCAATCACTGATTGCATTATCATTTTTCTCAAACTCAGCCTGTTTAACCACACAGTTTACTATCACTCACCGTGAGTCAATCAATAGTAGCTGCCTAACTCAGTACATGTACTCACCATGAGTCATTCGCTAGTATTCACAATGACCCACTCAGAAGTACTCACTATGTCATCACTACTCACCATATACATCTCATTAGTGTAGCCCTGGTACTCGCCATGTGGCATTCACTAACCCTCACCATAATCCACTCCACTCAACATAAGTTACTCAGTTTAGTACTCACCAACTCTTGCTCAGGTCTCACCACATTTTTCAGCTGAAGTTCCAGCTCCCCGAGTTCTCTGAGGACAGACTGCCACTATCAAAGAGGAAAGAAAAACAAGACTAGGGTCAAATGAAATATCTGCACTGACTTGAAAGGTAATAACATCAAAGAAGTAGGAAAGAGAAAACCTTCTTTCCCCAATTATAACCTTCAAGCAAAAGGTGACAAGACCATCTTTTGCCTCGACAAATATCTAGCGTCTGCAAAAGCACTCCGAACTGAGAAAAGCAACGCAAAAGCCTCACCGACGATGTGTGTTGTATTGTATCTGCCAGTATGGTGTACATGTACGTACATGTACAGTGCTGCACTGCTGGACCATCGCCAGTTTTGTGTTCGGCACCGCCACAGCACTGAGCCTCGCAACACTGCCAGGTTGCTTGCCGGCGTCCTCATTCATCGACAAGTAAATGGTTACTTTCATAGGAACTTAATCTACTCACTTTCACGAGAAGAAACCTATATGTGTTTATCTCTTTTCCACTGACACATTGAACATTGTAGGCTTGGCAATAAACAAGCCTGCACGCTAGTCTTCTTAGACTAACGCTGCATGTTTGCGCACATTACAGGTACATGTAGCCTGCGATTCAGCCCCAGATTCTGGTCTGGGTACTGACTCCTACACTGACCGCCTTATTATATAAATAGTCTGTTGCCACACTGCACGTGAACACAGGTGCACTCTCCACCTTTAATGTCGCGTACTCCATCATTTCGGAACAAATCTCACAGTTATTTTGACCAGCTAAAAGTAAGATTTAAAATTTATACATGTTAGACATTAACGTATAGTATTTTGCATTTTCTACACATCTCCAAGACTCATTTTAATACATTCTGGTGCCGCATTGATGCCAGATTACAAGAATCTTCATGCATGCTTCATGCACGTCTGCCGTGCCTTTCTCCCCCATGACGTCATCAACCCAACATAAAAAACACAAAATTTGACCTCGTGTGTTTCCAAAATCGGCCCAGTTGGTTGAGGAAAAAATCGCCTCTTATTTCTCTCGTGTTGATTTTCAGGAGATAAATCCATTGTATAATGGTTTTTGGATGGCCAATCTACCTCCAAAACCCTAGATGTTGAAACATTTGAAGTCTTTTAATACCACTTCAAATACACTGTTCATCTGGTGCAACAAAACTATAGCACCTGAAGACAAGACAGTAAGAAATCATCAACTTACGGCATGGAGCCAAAAAGTTCAATAAATAACACGGTATATATGGTCATTTTGGTGTTCCACCTTCTTTATTTTTCTAGAATAACTCTAAAATTCATTTATCAAAAATTGAATACATAAGTACACTTGAAATTGTTTTCCTTACCAACTGGAACAAGGTTTCTTTCTCCTTGGTGATGGACTTTTCAGCGAGGAAAAGCAACGTTGTGTCCGAGTGAGCCTGGACATACAAGCTGACATTGACTAAGCCATGCATTGCCTGGCAAAGAACGACAGAAATTCAATTATTAAAAGCAACACCCAAACTATAATTCTGTAAGTAGACTTCAATTTTAATTTTCCTGAATATGATATGTGCCTAGGTCATACTAGAAGGGCCATAATTACCTCAGTATCACGCTCCATAGCAGAGAAATCTGCATCTATTGATGACCGTCTTTCTGCTGCATCTCCTTCTAATCGTTCCCCTACTGCTTCCTGTCCGCCACCGTCAGGTTGGTCAGGTGCACATCCTCTCATTTCATCACCATGCTCCTTCAGACTAACATCACCCACGGTCCCAATCACAGGTGAAGATGATGAAATATTCAGGAGCATCTCACGTTCCTTGCCTGCGGTTTGGTCTTGTGATGGCTTGTCCATGTCTACCTGTCTAGCATCTCTGATTTCCTCATCGGCATCTCCTCTCCTTTCATTACCCTCCTTTGGACTATCATCCTTATTCCTGATCCCGAGGCAGGTTGGGGATGATGAAGCATTTAATTGCCTCTCTGATTCCATCTTCTTGTGGTCACTGACTTCAGACATTGTGAGAGACTCCTTATCCCATCTTGGCTCTTCAACACCAGTCCCTTTGTATTCTGTCTCACCGGCAGGCTTTTCTTTAAATGTCTGTACATCAGTGAAACTTTCTGATTCCTCTACTGATGTCGGAGGGTCTTGCAAAGTCTCCTTCTCACTTTCTTTTGGTGAATCTACATCTGTACAGGGAAAACTGTTCACTGTTTCTGCGGCAGCTGTGTACGGAGATCCTTCACTGTTAGATTTGTTGTCCGTATTGAGGGATAGCTGTCCTTTAAGACTGACGGCTTCAATCTCTTCATCTGACGCCAGAAGAGTTCTATCATCTTCATCTGAACTTATTTCCGCTTTCTGCTGTGATGTCAACAACCCCACCTCTTCCACTTTGCCTTCCACTTCCACATCACCGATGGCACCATTATCTACAGTGCCTGAGGATGACTCTGTCATGAGACACTCTGTCCCTTCGAGTTTCACATTGGAGTTGATGTCTTCCAAGTCACCCATCCCCAAGTCTTCCGCAGTATATTCTTCCTGCTCGTGTTTGGAACTTTCAAGAATATCGCCTTCGGGCTCTGGTACTTCAAGGAGCAAGCTCTGGTCTCTGTGGGATGCACCTGAGGTCCGTTCATGCTCTGTGCTACTTATGGATTTTTCAGCAATACTGGCCAGAATTTTCTCTCCACCGGTATCAAATTCATTGTTTAGTCTAGCGACACTTTGTCTTGTGTTTGACTGCATTGCAGCAGTATCGTGCCTAGAAAGTACCAACGATAAATTTCCACTGCCACAGTAAGTACCCGAACAAGTTTCCAATCCATCTAAGTGGTAGTCATTCAAGTGTTGGTCACGCGTTGCATTAATTGTGTTTTTAGCTTTCTCTACGACATGCGGTGCTGTATTACCTGCTGGTTTTTCCTCTTTGCACAGAGCACTCTCTTGGCATTCTCCATCTCTAAGAGGTGCTTCCCCGGCAGATATTACATCCACGGTTTCGTTATGCCTGCTACGTCCATCATCTACTGCTTCTTCAAACCCCTGATCTTTCTCACCGTTAATGTTGCCCAAGCCACTGAAGTCGTCATGGCTCCTCGGAGCGAGACAGTCTTCTATCCCGGACTCCGGGGATTCACTCTTCTGCTCGGAGGCATTTGAGGTTGATTTCAGATCTTTGCTTGGCTGCCCAAGTGGATCGTGACCCTTGGACAAGATTTGTTCTGTGAGATCCCTTCCCCACGAACTCTCCACTGATGTATCTCTAGCATCGACAGTAGGTTGTGCTCGAACATCTTGAGCACTGTCAGAGTCTGCTTTTCTTTCTAATGACACGCCTTTCTGCTTCTCTGTTTCCGAGACCCTCTCTATCAATCTGCTTTTCTCGGTTAAACTTTGCTTTCCGTCGTCTGTACAAACAGTCCCATTGGAAAGGGCCATCTCTTCATGTCCCACATCCGTTTTTGCTTGTACCTCCGCGGAAGCTAGGTAATTGTTGGCAGGTGGTTCTCCAAGCATCAGAGTTCTAGTTTGTGACTTCTGCGATTCAGTTGACGAATCAGGGAAGCCCGAGTGCTTGTGCTGACTAGCTGGCACATCTTTAGTTTCTTGAGCATCTGAATCCATCAGGCCACCAGGAGGAACAATTCTCATCAAATCTTTGTCTGGAGAATCTCGATCACCCTGTAGCATTCTCACCACATCGTCACTGCTCCCCAACTCCACTACTACATCATCCTTACCATCTTGAATTAAACTGGGAGATCCAACCTTCCCTCTGTCCCTCTCAGCGTCTCCCAAGGAAGACCCTGACCTCTGGCCAACACTGTCCAATTTGGACGAGGAGGGCCAGAGCGACTCCACGACAGGCCCTTCTAGCATCCCTGTGAAATTTGAGAACAGTCTCCTTGTTCTCTTCAGTGTGGGCTGGCTGCTTGAGGACTGGTCCTCACTGCCTGGCACCTCTGTTGGGGAGGCAGGAGGCGTACAGAAGATGCCTTCAAGTTGTTTGGCTTGGACTGAGGGGCGGGGCTTGGGTAGGGGCTCCAGCGGTGTTGACAAATGCCTGTACTGTTGCTCAGTAATGTACACAGACAGGATACGGACACCAAATGGCAGAACTGTGTCTGTCACAGACTTGGAAGGATGCTGCCAGAGAAATATTGAATCACTAACAATGAACAAAGTTTTTATCCATATTTAGAAAAGGTACAAATTACCACCAACCGAGCTGATAATGGTCATTTCTTTTAATCAATCAAAGGAACCAGGCCATACTAAAATTAATTTACCGGACATTATTTGAATACCATTTTACTGAATATAAACCCTTAAAAAACTAAACTTACTTCAAACATTGATCGTAGCTTTTTCTAATAGCTAAGACTAAATCTTTTAGAGACTTACATGAAGTTGATTTGGTTTAATCAGCAGTAAGTGAGAGGTTAGCTCAGGAGAGAGTTGAGTACAAAGCACACTGGAAAGAAAGGAGAAAATACCGGTATCAGAAGCTGACGTTCAAAATTAAAGTAACGAGCACAGTTGTTGAGCAGTGTCTGTAATAAAACAACATTCTTGAATAATTTGTGGTAAAGACGGGTCAACTAACTGCGCATTTAGCTCTCATGGCTTGTGTACAAAGTTAACAAAATGAATGGACCAATCAGAGGACAACTCAAGCATAGAAATTAAAATCGGAGCTTTGACAACCAATGACAGCTTAACCCTAACACTCCTCAGTCCTCCAACAGGTGAAGGATTGAGGACTGTTAGGGTTAATTAGTATTACAATGAGGGCGGGCCAATTCTGCACATTAGATGAATATGTAGTTGAGTAGTGTCAACAAACTAAATGCTTTGGTTTAAAAAGGACTTTGCTGCAACTTATACTTGAAATTCTTCAAAATTGTTTAAAGGAAAACTCCACCCAGATTCCTGGAATTCCCCTTTAAGTTCGAAATTGGGTGTTGTGGCTGATGTAGGTTACGAACTACATGTACGTTTCCTTAAGAATTAACGTCCAAAGATCTCACTTTGTACAATCCCCGTGCATATTTCAATTTGTTTCTGAAGTTTGCCCAGACAATTTCCCTTAATTACCTACGTAATACAAACTAACACTTAGTGATCAAAGGTTGAATAACTATGAATTGTCTATTTCGGGTGCAAAAACATCTTTAAGCAGACAGATTTGACTTTTTAAAGATGCAGGGAACTGGGCAGAATCAAACAGATGCCTTTGGATCTTGAAGACCAGTATCATACCTTCGTCTGTACAGGATGCAGCCAGCAAGAAGCGATGGCTGACCCTTCAGCCACTGCAGAAGATGAGAGCATCTAAGGAAAAGGATGTTCCCACCCTGGACAAAATGAAACAGAAGCCAACATCAAGATCAAGATCACAGATGTTTGAAACACAAAAGAGCTGACTTTTCCATCTCAACATACTTCCTTACTCTCAAAATTTCATGAATTCTTGGGTATGAAGTTGGAATGCAATCCACTTTTTTATGTACTACCTAAACACAGCAGCAACTACTAAATGCAGGTCTATTAACTAGAATATCAGTTTTCTTGGACTTGTAGGGTCTTTGTTGCTTACGATCCTAAATATTCATTTACCTTAAGGAGCTTCACTTGCTGAATGGGTTCAAACACGGCTGGCACTGTGTTGCCGTAGCGACGGACATATGGAACGTAAAAGTCCCAGATGGCAGCCATGTTGGATAGAAAAGCTTCATTATTGCTGGAAAGCTGAGGAAAAAAGACAAAAATCCAGAAAACAAAATTCGTAACTTAACGTTCTGCCTTTCAAAATCAACAAAAATCAACAACAGAAAGAATTCAGAATATGGACAATAAAAGCATTCCTGGCACACAGGGGGTGAAGTATGGGCAAAAACTGGTTATACAAAAAAATAATTGGGGGGCAATTTTACCTACTTTTCTGGTTAATTTCATTAAAGACAGAATTCTCAAGACTCTAGATGAAGTCACCACCTTTCCTCCACTCCAGAAAATCCTTCAGGTGTCATTTTGTTTGTTCCTGATTAGTTTACGGCATGGTGCTCGTGTAATTAGAGAAAATCAGGCACAATAAAATGACAAGGAGAGAGGAAAACTCTTTGCAGGGCAAGTTGGCAGCTAGACCACTAACAAAAGAGGCTAGCAACAGCCATCTTTACTCCTGAAACAGCTATGGGGTGAAAGCAATGGCTCATCTACGTTCATTCAAAGACAGGTGTACAAAGGCCCAAAAGAGACCATGCCCAGTCTGCCCCAATCCTTGATCTGCCCTTGGGAACATGACAAGCACCCCAAACACCTTCCTATGCACCTGTTGAACTCTCGTTATCGAGCAATGGTAGAAAGTAAACACTTTGTACAGGTTTTCCAGCTTCCGAATGATGGCAGAGTCGGGAGTCCGTAGCTTACAGGCAAGCGCCTAGAGAAGAAAAGAAAAATCACAAGTGAACAAGTGCACACATTTCACACTCATTTGTGAAAATCTCAAATCCTTTTCACTCTCCTGGTGTTGTAGCGCTTGCACATGATATCTGCTGTCCATTCTAACTTGAACAAATTCCATTTTGAAGTAATAACGCCGTTTGCTGCTTACACCTTCTGCTTATTAGTAAGCACCAAATGGAATGTCAACATGGAGAATATTCTCTACAGCACCAAACACTGCATCCTTGTTTAAAAAACAGGATATGCGCAGGATTTCCCGCAGGTGTCATTTCCCAACCTGAACTCATGAATTTAATTTGAACTGTATTTTGTTCGGTTTGAGAGATGTACATATTTTTTTTTGTTTTCTCTAGGTTTGTTTGTCCTTGTTAATGTGAGGAAGTGCATACCCGTGGGTAATACTTACAAAGTTAGATTTTGCTTTCCTCAACCCATATATTTTATTTGTATAATACTGTGTACTCTTTTTTTTTCATTACATGTATTTCTGGTATTTAATAAAGGCTCCTTATCCTGCATAGGTTTCAGAATTAATGTAAAGTTCTTTTGTTTAGGGTTCTATTTATTTCTTTTTTTTTGAGTGCTATTGCTGTTGAGTTTCTCTTTTTATTCTACCTTGTCATTTTTATGTTGTCCGGGTCAAATCAATAACAATAACATAATGGACCTCATCTTTCTCAAAATTGAAACAAGGAATTAGTTACCATTGTGAAGTTTCCCTCGTGTATGGTGGCTACTTTGTGCTTGCGTAGTTTGTATAATTTAGGAGGCGTCCCTGAGATTGACCTCATACAGTTAACCATGCCCATCAGCTGGCTACAGAAAATGCACTGGATATCAATCGGAGTCTGTTGGAAAAATACAAAGAATATTGATTAAATGGTATCCTTTCTGATCGTGGGTTTTTTTTGTTGAAAAGTCCAATTTTGCTCCTTTTGATAGTTTCTACTTTGGATTGCTCCCTCTTTCCAGTGACTACAATGAGAAGCCAATAGTGTAGTGGCACCAGACTTGTACATTGGTGGTCTTTGACCAGTGAGGTACCGCAGTGTGAGAGTGTCGTACCGACAGGGCATTGGTGTCTCCTCAGATTGGTCTTGTTTGATTGAATGGAGAAGTTAACTTTGGTAAACTCTACAGGACAATGGAAGGAATATGAAAAGTAGAAGACAACGTGTAAGCAACTTAAAGATTCCATTGTGTTCAGAGGAACTGCAGACAGTTTTATTTCCTCTTTTTTCCTCCTTTTTTTTGCTGCAGGATCAAGATAGTCCAGCTGATTTCACTTTCCATGGGCTCAATGCCATTCGAAAGTGGAGTGCGTGCATTCTGATCTTCCAATTCAATTAAGCATTTGGCAGTCCTTAGGGAGGTTTTTACAAAGGACCTGCATGGAATGAGGGTGCAAGGGTCATCAAACAACTTACATGCTGTGGATAGTAGTAAATAATCGCATTCTTGGGGTCATCATATTCTTTCTTTGTGACTGAGTGATCATGGATGAAGAACGTCCGGTCACCTGGCCTGGAGACGGAAACATGCAGAAGTAATTAACATCCGAGGCATTCTTTCCAGGACAACTGACTGGAGGAATGGGATTATTTTTGATGTAAATATTTAAAACAAAACCAGGCCTGACCAAAAAAAGTTGCATTTCTGAAAACCTGACCCAACCTAGAGAAGCAACCTGAACCTGTACCGTTTTATTTGAAAACGATGCCAAGTTCTAAGTCTGATGTTTGTGAACATCATCTTCTATTTTAAAATGTTGAAAAGCTAGTGTTTTTACCCACAAAAGGAACTATTAGGAAGAATTCCATTCATGAACATCACTAACGTTTCCTTACTGTGATATATCAGCCACCAGAAAGCAATAAAATGTCCTTAAAAGCCATATTCAGTACAGCAAATATCGAAGCATTTTATGGGCGTACTTTTTATATTTTTTTTTCCCCAGACCAGTCTCACTGGGTTTGTGCACACGCTGTCAAGTGATGTCTTGGTTTTGAACTCTCTTGATGTTAGAATACACAGGCAAAATGATATTTTGCTGATGTCTCCTCAATTCTGAGGGATAGAAATCAACTGACATTGACCCTATTACTGTCAGTTCCTTACTAAATACCCATCAGGTTTGGAAGAATTTTTCAGGACTACAGAAGGTGGTAACCTTGAACGCCGATATCAGAGAGGCAGAACACCGAGACCATAGTTCTATGAGGTATACCTGTGGATGTTAACGTTGCAGTGAAGAGGCACGAGTTCAGTAACCAGACACCACATACTTACCACCAAACCCTGGCGCTTATTCATACATGTAGCCTCATTACCAAACAAAACAAATTCCATTCCATCATGTCCATTGACACCAACTGCTGTGTTATGCAATGCACTGTCTTGGAAAAGTCCTAGGCCTACACTACAGACATGAAAGATTTGTTGGTACATGTGTTCAGCCTATATTCAAAATGTTCAAACATTGTGAAATGTGTAAGATGCAAAAGCTAACGAAAATCTGCCCGAAAAGCACTGAAATTAACATGCATGTTTGATAGTCGCCAGGTCAATTCTGCCGCCTACGTGTGTTGCCATATCTCATTGGTTTTCACAGTAAGTGGCAAAATAAGGGGCATGACGACTATACGGACACGCACATTAACGTCCATGACGTTATATAGTTGCTAGGTCCCTTATTTGGCCACTTAATGTGAAAACCAATGAGACTTGACAATAGGTGGCGAAATTAGGGACCTGGTGACTATACCACATGACACAAACACACACCTTACCAGGTCAGGGACCAAACCACACACAATCTAGCAACAACGCCAGATTATGAATATGCCACTTAATTTTGCAACGATGATGTAATTTTGAGCTATTTTTAGATCGCAGTTCGTAGATGACATCAATCTCTTTATCGGCCAAAAACTTCAAAACAAATTGCTCTGACTAATCAAATCTATAGGAAACATGCTACCCAGATCCAAATGAAACTTCCCTTTCATTTGGTATCTTTAAAAGTGAATGGAGGAAATTTTTTGGTTGATTTTGCACTGGAGGTATTGATTCAGTGCGCGGGAGAAATCAATTGTACACAAACAAATAAAGCTTTGCCAAAAGTTTACTTTATGCATGAAAATGTTGCCATTAAAAATCTCCATTGATTCACCATGGCAAATATTATGCTTACCGTGGTGATTTCCAAAATAGCGATCAGAAATAATTTTGCCATAGACTCCAACAGTAATGGTAACGGCGGCCATGTTAGCTGGTGTCATTTTAAATCTTGTTATTTTCCCAAAATCTCACGGGAAAATGATATTATCATATCTCCGGAAAATAATAACATCATTACCACACGAACAAGCAACATAGGTATGCAAAACTAGGGACGTTGCTAGATTGTGGTTTGGTCCCCGACCTGGTTACTGGTCATGCTGCTGCTGGTCAGTGGCTGTCCTAAAATCAAGAAATGTTACTCTTACAACTACTACTAGTTGTAGTAAGTACTAGGCCTAGTCTTAGTCTTGTTCAAGTTGTTGGTCCTCAGGTCTTAGACTGTACTCTGTAGCGGATAAAACAGCGTGATCTGGTAATTCTGTCACGTCTGTCGAGCTCCCTATCTTAGGCTAGCTTACATGGTTTAGCATGCTTAGTCTAACTAAGTCTAAGACTACCCCCCGAACGGTGGGGTCCGACGTCCGCCCTGCTCCCTCGTGGTAGGTAGGCCTATCATGCCTATGTAGCGAGGCGGACGTCGGACCCTACCACAGCCATCATGTTCATGACAGCACAGTTCTGGGGTTTACAAAACATGTAAAAACTCAGGCCTAGGTCACATTTTACAACTTATTTTGGTGTTTATGCAACTTCAGAATCGTGGAGGCCCCATAAGGAATTCTTGCTGTGACGTAATCATGGTCATGATGGTAATATCAGCAGCATTTAGTTTGGCCTGGACATTATTTCCTACCTCAAGTGAGCCGCCATCTTTCTTTCGGTCTGCTATCATGTGACTTTACTTGTACTGGTTAGTCTTTTTCAAGGCACTATCTACACCGACAACATCTGCATATGCACGTGTAAAGGTGTACGTTTAATTAAAAACACCAAAATAAAGACTGCACAGCACTGGTAATGAAAATGGGGAAATGAGAAAGATTTTTTTAAATATCAAATTAGAACAGGTTTGGTGCAAGCCTGGTAGCAATATTGTTTATTACACAACAGTCATGTGCACGCGGGTACGCGTGTTGGCCTCCTTTACAGCTTTACAGTCAGTTTTGAGAGGAGTCTAAACATTAGTCTTCACTCCTTCAGGATTTTTTCCCACTGATCTCTATGATAAAATCTAGAGACTAGTGATTGTTCTCGTTAATTTGGCCTAATGTTGGACTTTCTTGCCTTAGAAAGCTGGAAATTTTCTAGTAGCCTTTGCACAAGTTCGATTTCTCCGGACTTGAAAAAACATATCGGTCCAGCGCCTGAGGTCATCGGCCCATAACCTCCATTCCATGGACAAAGTATTCAATTCGCTAATTATTGTGATTATCAGTGAGCAGTGAATACAGTCACTGACCCGTGACGCGGCTGGGCATGATCTCCTGGGCTGCCCAGCCGTCTACTTAGAGTCAGTAGTCTTGCAAACGGCACCTGTGCAGTCAACATGTGTCTGTGCCCCGCCCTCGCGTCCAAGACTCACCTGCCGGCCACTTTAACCCGGACCCATATGACAAATACAACATTCCAAGAGGACTAAAACAGTTTATATTTAAATATTAGATGCTAATTTCGCTTTATATATGTACAATGATTGTTGAAATTCTCGGCGTTTAAATCTCACCAAATTTAGCAGTTTGAGTTAGTTTGGGCTGCGTTTATCACGCTTTTGAGTGATTGAACAGCGTGATTGACATTATTCTAATTTATCTTGATTGAAGGATATTTTCTGAACTTGTGTACATTATGTATTCCTTGTACATGTACCTTGGCTGCTTCGGCTACACTACCGAAGCAGCTATTGTTTTCGCGATGGTGAAGTATCTATAGCCTAGACACTTTCCAGAGACAGGAACAGAACCCTCGGCAAAATCTCTTTTTTTACACAGTATAACAAACGATGTCACACACATTTGATATGATTACAGGGACCGAACCATGACATCACCACTGGTGAAGTCATCCCACCAAACTATCAAGTGTTTAGAAAGGATAGGGTTGGCGACGCACATGGGGGAGTTTCCATTGCAGTTAAGGATAACCTCATAGCAAATAAGGAATCTGACCTAATGACAGAGACCGAAAGCATGTGGATTAGCATCAGCATGCAGGGGTTGACGCCTATGTATGTAGGAGTTTTTTACCGTTCGCAAGTTACCAACACCAACTATGTGAAGGAGCTTGTGCTTTTAGAAAAATTCCACCTCAAGCTTCAGTGTGGTTACTGGGAGATTTTGATCTTCCAGATGTGAACTGGGAGAAACTTGAATTCACACCGGGCAGTTGTTATGCTGGACCTAGTAAGGCAATGTTGGAAATTGTGCTCGATTACAACTTGCATCAGCAGGTGAAAGAACCAACTAGATTTGACAGCATCCTTGATTTGTGTTTCACCAACTCACCATCCTTTGTGGAAAGTACGAAGGTGATTCCTGGTGAGGCGGTGATTGTGAATGTATCGGTGAAACCAAAATTAGTTCGTCCAGCGAGACGTTGAAAATCTTTCTTTATAAAAAAGTGAGCTTTGAAGAAATAGAGGAATGTCTCAAGAATTCTGATGAGAAGCTGACGATTGACTACGTGCATGGACTCCTACGCATGGGAATCAGGAACAACACATCGAAATGGATCGAATCCTTCCTTACAAATCGTCACCGTCCAACAGGATGCGCTGGAGGGTGTATCAGTTTAAGTTACGTCAGGGGTTCCCCGAAGTACTGTCTTGGGACCCTTGCTTTTTCTGGCGCATATAAATGATCTGCTGGCGAATGTCCACTCAAAGGTTAGACTTTTTGCGGACGACTGCATCCTCTATAAAAGGATGCAAACACTTGAGGACTCAGATATACTTCAAGCAGACCTTGATGCATTAGTCAACTGAAAAAGGCTGGCAAATGTCTTTCAATCCTTCCAAATGTTTCAGCATGAGAGTCACACACAAAAGAAAGCTGGTTATTACGAAATACAAGATGGATCTCCACACCCTCGAGGAGGTGAGACATCATCCCTACCTAGGTGTTGAACTTAGCAGTGATTTGAAATGGTCAACACATATCAATCAGACTGTTGCTAAGGCTGAAAAAATGCTGGGTTTGTTGAGGATGAATTTATACTACTGCAACAAAAGCACTAAGTCTATAGCCTATAAATCGCTAATCATGCCAGACCCAAACTTGAATACTGCTCTGGGATTTGGGATCCACAACACAATTCGGAGGGGAACAAGTTAGAAAGAATTCAAAAGAGAGCTGCCCGGTTTGCTGTTGGAGATTACAGCAGGGAATCTAGTATTACCGTGACCAAAATCCTTGCTGACTTAGAGTGGGAATCGCTCCATGACCGAAGGACCAAATTGCGCTTAACGACCATCTATAAAGAGACTCATAAAACTTGAGTCATTAGGAGTAAGAATAGGTGCCCATATACCCAGCAAGAAATGAGACCGAGGGGTACCCCCCAACATGTCCAATCCCTATACACATTCCAGACTATTGTTACTTAACACATCCCCCAAGATGTCTGAAAGGAATTAACCAGATTCCTGCGAGACAATGACCAACACAAAGCAGGGGGGGTTCTCTCCGTCTCATACCTAGCTGCATATGGGTGCCCATATAGTGGCTAGGGAGCGACCCATAATGAACTGGCATCTCATCCAGGGGAAAATATTCTCATTGGTTTCATGACAAGGAAACTAGATATAAACACCCATCTGACAACTCAATTGACTCAATTAGCTCAGGACCAGACTTCCGGGTAGTGAACACAGGTGGCTGTGTGTGGTGGTGGGCTATGGTTACAGGGAACACGTGTTATTTGGTGCTGG